TACCCCCATATTCCCAGCCTCTCCCCCAGCCCCACAGGCTACCACAGCACAGCTGTGGGCCAGATCCATCCTGTAGGCTTTAATTTGACACCATTTACTTATTTCATGGGTGGACGGTTGGAAGCAATACAAGTTGGCTCTCTCCGTAATACCCAGAAAGTAGTAGGCACTCCTTGTCTCTTCCCTTTCTACCTCCCAGAAACATTAAGAATGAGAAAGGAGGTGGGTGGGAAGGAGCCCAGCTGCCTGTATTTAGGATTCTCAGTGCTAGACAAGTTGCCATAACTTCTTCTCAAATTGCAACACCAACTCAACTTCACATTGGAAAGCGTGTGTTCAGTTATTTTGGCAAAACGCCAATATTTTTTGCTGACAGTGCATGCAGGGAGGAGGGGAATGGTGATTTTCAAGAGTTTGTATCTCAGCCAAACCAAAAAGGAATTTTTTGGGATCAAAAAGTGCCTCTTCTCCCCAGTTAATTACAAGTAGTGGAGATGTTACAGCTTCTCAGAAAAGATTAAATATCCACATAACTGCTGGCTACCAGCTCCCGCTAATAACAAAGACTTGCTTAAAAAGAAAGCTGACAAGGTTTTAGGTGTGTGTTTGTTTTTTTTACTGGGAGCAGGACCTAGAGACTACCTCTATAAAATGTGGTAAAATTAAAGGAATATATAAAAAAAAATTCCCTCCCTGTCGTGCATTCTTATGTAGGAAATAGTTAACTTTTAAGACTCATGAAGCAATGATGAGTACCAGTTCATTTATGTGAATGTAAAGAATCTTATCGGCTTCAGAAGGCATAGAATCAAATCAACAGATTTTCAGGGAAGAAATCATCATCAGATCCAGTGCAACCTCTTCACCTAGTAGTGCTCCAGTTAATGTATGAACTGTAAAGTTATCTAATAGATCAAATCCTGATTTCATATTATAATACTCCCTCTCAACTATTGGCAAGCTATTCCAATGGCTAATTATTCTCATTTAGAAATGACACCTTGATTCCAATACTAATTTTTTGTTACTGTTTTAACTTTGAGACATTACATTTACCCTAGGCAAACTGCAGTGGCTATAAAACCAGTATCAGAAGTATAATTTCCCACATCCCAGAGACTGAGAAACTGTGGCTGCTCCATCTCCCAGCCATGGGGGTACGTGAGGCCTCCCAGCCACAGGAGCCTGCTACTTGCTGGTGCAGAGGGAACCTGGGATCATGCTCCCTCTGCACCAGCAATAAAGCGTAAGGTGATCTAATGCTGGATCCCACTATCATGCTTCTTGCCATGTATACGCCTTTACTTGCACATGTAGTGGGGCTCTAAGATTAAGATTTTCTGTGAAACTTGTATATCTATTTATTGTAAACTACATATATGAAATGTATAAATAGGCAACTGGAAAAGCCAACAGCAAAAATATGAACTCAGGTCACAGGTACAAAGTAAAAGGCAGAAAAAGGTTCCATTCAAGCTAAGTAAATATCTGCTTAGAGGTGGGAGAAAAAAAACCCCAGCAAGGAGAAGCATCTCGAGTAGAGCCAAAGAGGTGATCCTCCCCCTCTACGCGACGCTGGTCAGGCCACAGCTGGAGTATTGTGTCCAGTTCTGTGCGCCCCATTTCAAGAGGGATGTGGACAACATGGAGAGGGTCCAGAGGAGGGCCACCCGCATGATCTGGGGACAACAGGGCAGACCCTACAGTGAGAGACTGCAGGACCTGAACCTATTCAGCCTCCACAAGAGAAGGCTGAGGGGGGACCTGGTGACCATCTATAAATTCACTAGGGGGGACCAGAAGGGTTTGGGGGAGA